ATAAATGAAATCCTTCTTTACGGTCACTATTGTGACCAGTGGGATTAAATGGGTTAAATCAAATATATTTTTGTGTATTCATTCCTTTCATATATAGACTATGATTTAATAAAAACAGATTTAGTTATTTTTAGTTAAACTTAATTTCTGTTGCTTGTCCGTGCTCGTCCGCTGCATTCTTTCTCTTCTCCGGCCCTGCAGCTCTCTCTGTTAGTGGCACCAGTCCAGCTGTTTCTTCTGTTACTCGTGCTATTTCTCCATGTTGAGAGTTTGGTGTCACACATAGATTGCACTTGACTATGCGTTCTTGACCTTTTCTCTGATGAACTGAAAATAACGGGAGTGTGTCCATCTCACAAATGTAGAATCCGTCTCAACAATCGAATTACAGCAACAGGAAATAGACTAACTATTTCACCCGTGGAATGCAGTTTAGCGGTGTTGGTAAATTCACCACTTAATTTTGAGTTAAAATATGTTGTTGTAACTTGCGTTACTGAGATTGTAACGAGTAATAATAATATTATCCAAATGTTATTAGTGATGCATTATATTACTGCGTTACTGCAAAAAGTAATGTACTACTCTAATATCGTTACTTTTGAAAAATGTTACTCCCAACAATGTATTTTATCGTATATAGTGTAACACAGAGAGATGCATTTGTGAAAGCACTCAGATCAATTCAACATCTTTTGTAATAAAATACTGTAAATTAAATGATCATGAAGTGCTTTTTAAAGTGATTGTTTAAATAATATATGAGTATGTACTTTGTTAAATATGTTAATTCAAAGGATTGACTTTAATCTCTCTCTGTTATAGTTCAGTTCATCAGCAGAGATCAGAAGCAGAGTCCAGCTGTGTGTCTATGAGGAGTGAGGAGTCTATGAATCCTCCAATACAGTTTAAGAGTGGAGATACAAAGACTGATCTCAGGTACATTTTTATATAAATATTATTATAGCATGTCATTTTAAATCATCAAAATAGTATATATAGTATTTTCTATAATACATGAGGAATTTTTTTGTATATTGCTAATGGATATTTATTTTTTATCTTTATCTGATATTTTAACATATATGGCCCTGTCCCAAATGGTACCCTAAACCCTTGCGTTCTTCCTCTGAGTCCACACTGTCGGGTAGAAGTCTGCCACGGAGCTCACCCCAGTGTGGGCTCAGCAGAAGTGCACATCTATGGTGCATAGCGGCCGCAAAGAGGGCACTTGCGAGCACCCTTCTGAAAGCTAAAATGACGAATGGGACACCCTACGGTCTCGTGGACTCAAAGAAACATTTGTGAAAGCACTCAGATCAATTTAACATATTTTGTAATAAAATAGTGTAAATGAAGTGATCATGAAGTGCCCTTTTAAAGTATTTTTAAAGTATTTTTTCTTTTATTTTAACAATATATGAAGATGTACTTTGTTAAATATGGTAATTCAAACTTGAATCTCTCTCTGTTACAGTTCAGTTCATCAGAAGAGATCAGAAGCAGAGTCCAGCTGTGTGTCTATGAGGAGTGACGCGTCTATGAATCAGTCATTAGATTATAAGAGTGGAGATACAAAGACTGATCTTAGGTCTAATATTTCTGTAAAAGATTATTTCATTAAGACACAGAATACATTAGTTTAGCTTATTTAATAATGCAGTATTTTAATTTTATAGGCATGAAGTCCTCAACAGGTTTAGATCAAATCTGATGGAATACTTACTACTGATTGGATGAGACAACTGTTAATCAAGAGACAGAGATACAGAAAGTAAAACATTGTGTGGCTTCGTTTCTTGTTCATGTGTGGACTTCTGTGTTCATGTTAAACTGGTTTCTGCATTAGCAAAACCTTTAAACGGATTGTCTGTTTACACTAAGTGCTAATAGCCCGTCTTGTTAGCAAAGGCTTGACTGTTAGCAGACAAAATTACTAAAGAAACCAGTCAGATAAGTGGGAGAGTAAGGAGAGTGGGCTTTTGTGACCAACTCGAGTACAAATCTGCATTTCTTCTCATTTATTCCATTGTATATTAGCTCAGAGAGGTGTTTATATTAAAGAAAACATAAGAAAATATTCAAAACATGGAAATAAAATGTCTAACATGTATATAATTAAAATTATATGTGGTGTCCTGACATTGATCAGATGTTCTGGTGAATCAACCACATGCTGCTCATATTGTTCCCAAACTGAAGAGCGTGAGTCTCTTCCTGCAGCTTCAAGAACAGCTTTACTGATCAGCAGCTTCAGTGTGATTAGGAGCAGGTGTAGGGGGGCTTTAGGAATAGACACAAGGAAGGACACTAGAAGGCAACATCTGTTTATAATGAATAGGATCATATAAAGAATATGTTATTACGTACTGTTTTGTAAAGCACTGCAATACATTGAGTTGTAAGTACTATCTGCCACAATTTACACTAAGTATAAATAATATCTCACAATGTGGGTGATCTCAGGTTTGGCTATCCTTGGGTGATGGAGGAGAAACACACACACACACCACTACTCCATACATATTAATACAGATCAAAATAACACTATAAAACTCAGTAACAGATCTGAATGAATGTCTACATAAGACAGATGATTTGTTTAAAAATACTGACATTGCAATAAAGAAATATTTATTTTTCTCGAATGAGGCTTTAAATGATTTATGATCATGTTTTTTTGTTCTTTGACATTTTAGATCTCAGTCCAATTATGCATCACGCATTAATTTTTTGTACTAGAGGTCTGCGCAGGACTATTTTTAGTATATTCACTCTTTGTTCACCCATTGTCCGCTTAGAATAATTTTGTTCCAGTTCCCGACTCGACCGTTCCCGCTAAATTTAGATCTCGTTTCCAGAATCTCACATTTAAATCTCAGCTACTGAAAGAAAGAGAGATAGACTAACAAATAAAAGTGTAGTCTGCATAAAATTGTATGTTATTTTATTCGTCTTGTCAAGAGTCTTGCATTTATTGACTTTGACTTGAATTCATATAAATTATCTTAAGACACAAAATTCATTTAATATTTGATGCAACACCGTAAGAAAAAAAGCGTCAGAGAAAATAAAAATGTTGTACAAAAATTTGTATTTGTCTTGTCAGGATACTACAATTCGTTTAACATTGACAACACAATAGGAAAAAGTGTTGCAGAGAGAGAAAAATAATGTAGGTTGTACAAAAATAGCCTATTAGCTATTTTATTCGTCTTGTCAAAATACTAAATTCGTTTGACATTTTTCTGTTAACACAGTTGAAAAGGTGTCGCAGAGAAAAATAAATAAATACATCTGTCATTTAAAATGATAGGCTAAGCAAAATATAAACAAAACCGAGTTGAACGTCCTTCAAGGACAGCGCATCCACACTTTGCTCCATCCTTATTCTGCTCTGTCACTCATCGACAACCTGCCTGTTCTGTCTGAGGGCCGTATATTTACCACCGGTACTGCCTGCTCTGAGCATCGTTATGCACATGCTGCGCACAGACCCTGCAAATAAAACACGTGACGCAGAAAGCATGCGTGCAGCGCGTGCATAACAGTCCGAGTGCAGGCTGTACCGGTGTTCAATAAGAATAAAGCAGATATGCTGTTCTGAATGGATGTTGGGAACGGGATATTGTTAGACCTCCCGCTCAAATTACACCAGAGTTACAGACCGCTACTGCGCTTTATTCGGGAATTTAATCCCGCGGCACAAGAAATCTGGTCGGGTCCCGCGGTAATGCAGACCTCTACTTTGTACTTTCTCTTTACTAATGGATTCACAGCTAAACTGATCTGATCTGAGAGAGTGAAGAGTGTCATTGTTCTCTACAGGTTCATCACATCATGAGCTCTTGCTCCTGATGTGATGAAGATGATGTTAATTTCATTAATCTTCATCACATCATGAGCTCTTGCTCCTGTTTTTGGCCAACAAACATTTACTGGAGCTTCAGTTGCTTCTGCTAGTTTGATTAATACTCCTTCACCTGCCCATCTCTGTGTAAGAGTTTATTTTCCTCTTATTTTCCACTTTTTCTGAAATCTCATGAGCTTATTGTGTTCTCGCAGATGTCATACAGATTTAACCTGAATAATCAGATACTAATGTGTGATTTAGTGATTTCTGTTCAGTTTATAAGCTGCCAAACATGACACAATGATGTGTTTGATCACAAGAGTTAATAAATGAGATGTAATGGGGAACACGTGGCTCCTGTGAAGCAAATGTCCTCCTGTAGGTGTTTATTAGAGGAGCAAGTGACTGTTTTCCAGACAGATCCGTCCTTATCAAAGACTATAGAATACCCAAGACGTGTCACTCGTATAGTTTTGAATGGGGAAAAATGCAACGCTCAATATGGCCTCGCTATCGAACGAAGCCCCACCTTCTGAGTAAAAGAGTCAATCCCTAATCAGTGAAGTCTGCAGTTGCGGTCAGAAGTCCTGGTTGCTATAGAAACAGTCAGCGTTCTGAGACGCGCGCTCAGGACTGCGCATGCGCACTGGCTGGTTTAGCCTAAGAAATAAGCTTTTTTTAACGCTATTTGAGCAAAAGAAACAACAGTTATGATACAGTTGTTGTCAGATTTCATTGATGATTTCAAATATGACATTTTATCATAAGCTTGGTCACCAGTTTTGGAGAATTTGATGTTTCCCCATTTAAAGAGATAGGAGCTGCACTTGCATGCCTGAGAGGCGTTTCAAAGATGGCCGCTGAGTGACATGATTTGCTTTAAAGGGACTTTGTCCTTATATCACTATGAAACAATATCTCACATTCAGCTCTGTGTGTCTGTTCAGTCCTGAAGCACATGACAGTTTCAAACAGCACCATTGAGCATCAACATGCATAAATCTCATTCTATCAGCAGCAGTTTGTGGCAATGCTTGTCATTATATCTCCTCTCCTGCTCTGAGACCAGTCAATAACAAATTACAGACACTTCAACTACAATTCACATTCTGTCATTGTTCTCTACAGGTTGAGTTATTGTGGCGTCACAGATGAAGGTTGTGCTGCTCTGGCTTCAGCTCTGAGATCAAACCCCTCACACCTGAGAGAACTGGATCTGTCTGGGAATAAACTAGGAAAATCAGTGAATCTGCTGTCTGATGTACTACAAAATCCTCACTGTAAACTGGACAAACTGTGGTAAGATAATATATGACACACTGTAAATTATCTGTGAAGTGATAAACAAATCACCCAAAAAGCCAGAAAACACTAAGTCAGACAAAATGTAAAAATTAGGTATGTTTGTGAATGGGATACTTACTACTGATTGGATGAGAGAACTGTTAATCAAGAGAGAGATACAGAAAGTGAAACATTGTGTGGCTTTGTTTCTTGTTCATGTGTGGACTTCTGTGTTCATGTTAAACCGGTTTTTGCATTAGCAAAACCTTTATATGGATTGTCTGTTTACACCAAGTACTAATAGCCCGTCTTGTTAGCAAAGGCTTGACTGTTAGCAGACAAAATTACTAAAGAAACCAGTCAGATAAGTGGGAGTGTAAGGACAGTGGGCTTTTGAGGCGACCAACTCGAGTACAAATCTGCATTTCTTCTCATTTATTCCATTGTATATTAGCTCAGAGAGGTGTTTATATTAAAGAAAACATAAGAAAATATTAAAAACATGGAAATAAAATGTCTAACATGTATATAATTGAAATTATATGTGGTGTCCTGACATTGATCAGATGTTCTGGTGAATCAACCACATGCAGCTCATGTTGTTCCCAAACTCAAAAGCGTGAGTCTCTTCCTGCAGCTTCAAGAACAGCTTTACTGATCAGTAGCTTCAGTGTAATTAGGAGCAGGTGTAGGGGGGGCTTTTGGAACAGACACAAGTAAGGACACTATTGTCACAGTACAGAAGGAGACCAAAACGGAGATATACTGGTAAGAAGGGTTCTTTATTTAAACAGAGTAAGTAAGTAAGGAGTAGCGTAGTGAACTCAAGACCAGACAAAGTGCAACTGCAGTGACTGAGTATTTGAGCTAGTGTTGATGAGGTGGTGACAGGTGCGGCTGATTAGTAATCCGGTGATTGTGAACGGGTGTGTGAGGTGATTGGGCCTGACGAAGCTGGAGTATCCCTGACAGTACCCCCTCCCCCACGGGCGGCTCCTGACGCCCGCTGCCGACGTCGAGGACGGCCGCGGGTTTTGTGGTTTCGTGGCCGGTGGTTTGCTGCCTGAGGCCCCTGGGAGCGGGACGATCTGGGTGGAGGTCATGAAAGTCTCTGAGGAGTAAGCGATCTAGAATATCGTCTCTACGCACCCATGATCTCTCCTCGGGGCCGAATCCCTCCCAGTACACGAGATGCGGCTGATTAGTAATCCGGTGATTGTGAACGGGTGTGTGAGGTGATTGGGCCTGACGAAGCTGGAGTATCCCTGACAGTACCCCCTCCCCCACGGGCGGCTCCTGACGCCCGCTGCCGACGTCGAGGACGGCCGCGGGTTTTGTGGTTTCGTGGCCGGTGGTTTGCTGCCTGAGGCCCCTGGGAGCGGGACGATCTGGGTGGAGGTCATGAAAGTCTCTGAGGAGTAAGCGATCTAGAATATCGTCTCTACGCACCCATGATCTCTCCTCGGGGCCGAATCCCTCCCAGTACACGAGATGTTCCAGGCGGCCGCCTCGACGCCGGGAGTCCAGAAGAGAGTTGACTCGGTAGATGGTTTCTTTTTCAGTGATCTCGGGAGGAGGAGGTAAGTGGGATTCGTCAGACCCTGTGGGAGAAGCAGACAGAGGGTTAACACAGGGTTTGAGTAGAGAGACTTGGAAGGTAGGTGCTACACGGTAGTGTGATGGGAGTTCAAGCCTGTAGGTGATATCGTTGATCTGCCTCCTGATGGTGAATGGTCCAATATAGCAGGGACTCAGCTTGCGGCAAGGCAGTCGGAGACGACTGTCCCGCGTAGATAACCACACCTTATCTCCAGGTTGGTATTGTGGAGTGGGTCGGCGGTGAATGTCTGCTTGGGCTTGGTGTCTCCGAACCACCTGCTGTAGATGGACATGCGCTTAGTCCCAGACCCTCTCGCTCTCTCTGAACCAATGATCAACCGCTGGAACGTCAGATGGTTCTCCCGTCCAAGGGAACAGTGGAGGTTGGTAGCCGAGTACGCACTGAAAAGGGGTGAGGCCGGTGGTTTGCTGCCTGAGGGAGTTGTCAACTCGTCGTTCCTACTCGTGTGACGCAGGAGGAAATTCAATACATGTATAACTATTTCAACACCAGTGTTAAAGTGTCAAATGTATTATAAACATGTTCAAATACATAAATGCGATCAATTGCATCGAAAACATTTACTTAAAACATATTATCTTCACAATTAATACATTAACGAGACAGAGCATGAAAAATTGTGCATACCCGCAGCAGTGACACTCAAATCTGCTGCGGTACGGAAAGAGAAGAGGGACAAAATACTACATTTGCAGTACCATTATCGGCCACAGGAGGGAAGACTTCAAACACAAATGAATACAACAAAATGCCTTTTTTTATGGAATTCACATATAAACTAATTAAATTAAATGTTCTTTTTAACCCTGTTACACTTGGAATGGATGAATAGCTCCCTCCAGCCAATGTCTCCACTCCTCCAGAGCAAGTTTGATGGCGAGTAGCTCGCGGTTCCCGATATCATAATTTTGCTCCGCCGGGGAAAGCTTGCGGGAGAAGTATGCACAGGGATGAAGGACAGGAGGCTCTCCTGAATGTTGTGAGCGAACCGCTCCTACCCCTACTGTGGACGCATCAACTTCTACGACGAATGGTTTCTGAGGATTGGGAAGGGCGAGGGTAGTAGCGGTACAGAAGGCTTCCTTCAGCTTTTCAAAACTCTCGAGGGCTTCGGGAGTCCAGGACAGAGACTTGGGCTTGTTTCGGAGCATTGAAGTTAGAGCGGCAGTGTTATGACTGAAGTGGTGAATGAAAGGACGGTAGAAATTTGAGAATCCCAGAAAGCGTTGGAGTTCTTTAACGGTTTTGGCCAGTTATGAATGGCTTGAACCTTCTTGTCATCCATCTGGATACCCTGGGGACTGATCACATATCCGAGGAACTTGATAGTGGTAAAGTGGAACTCGCACTTCTCCAGCTTGAGGTATTTTCTCAGCTGTTGCAGGGCCTGCTCCACGTGATGGCGATGTTCGGCCAGGTTCTGGGAGTAGATGAGAATGTCGTAGATGTAAACGATCACAGAGCGATGAAGGAACTCCCGGAACACCTCGTTCTCAAATCCTTGGAATACAGAAGGTGAGTTAGATAATCCATACGGCATAACAATATATTCATAGTGTCCAGTGGGCGTTATGAAAGCGGTCTTCCACTCGTCACCATGGCAGCTACGAACGAGGTTATAGCCGCTTTGCAGATCCAGCTTGGAGAAGATACGAGCTCCACGAAGTTCCTCCAGGGCAGCAGGCACTAGTGGAAGGGGATATGGGTATTTGACAGTTTGAGAGTTCTGTAATCAATACAAGGCCGCAAGCCTCCGTCCTTCTTGCTAGGGCTGTGCGATTAATCGAAATCGAATCGAACGCGATTTGAGACGTTGCGATTTCCTAATCGCAAAGCCTGCGATATGGACGCGATATTACTCTGTTCCAGAGCATATGCATGACTGCCAGCCTTGAGTTGCAGTCTTACTAACCAATAGAGTGAGCGCACCTCCGTTCTCCCCAATCAGCACTGCTCTAGCCAACTGCGTAAACACCCACCATAAAAAAAAAAAAAAAAACGGAAAGCGGGATGGGAGAGAGACAGAGTGGGATTATGGCATCTACTGGGTCAGATCGATAGTTAGGCAAATTAAAACTAAAGAAAAACGTATGCAATTTAAGCTTAGAAATGACAGACAACGAACAAAAAAGGTCATTTCCCAGAGCTGCGTCACAGCGCATATCAAAAGCTCCCGTATCGGTTCTGTTTTCAGTACTGGCGAATAAAATACATTCTTAGATGTTTTTGTTAGTACGTGAACGTTATCTTACACATTTTATATCCCCAACAGATTAATTTGAAATAAGTTTATGATGCATGTTCGATATTCCCAATTCAGAAGAGTGCACACACAGCCTGTGTCTGTGAATGCTTCTCATACTCGCTCCCCTCTGCCCCACGCAGCGCGAATCCCGTGTCACGGACGAGCCGTTCATGCTTGCCGCACTCACGCAGCCTGTCTCGTAATGCTCGTTTATACTCGCACCCGGCTCCGCA